CCCGTCCCCCACCAGCACGTAGGGAATAACAACAAGTACGTACCGTCAAGACGCAGAGAACACTGCCCTGAACTTTAGCACCACAGTCAGGATGTGAAGCCGAGGAGTCAGGGGTAGTTGAACCAGTCTTCACACCAGCAGCTCCATCAGGCACAGGCTGCAGTGGCTTCAAAATAGAAACAGTTCCCTGGTTTAAAAAAAAAAACCTTCATCAAAGCAGAGTTAAATAAAGCACTATTTTTGGAATTAATTATTTTTAAATTAGATTGATGACTGAGTCGAAGCTGCAGTACCTTTAACCCACACCAGGTTAAAGATGAACAAGGGCGAGTGGGAAAAAATGTGTGTGATGTCACGACTAAAAAAACCAGTTCAGACCGGTTCTCTGTGTCTTTGACCAGTTTGATCATCGTATCGTCACGGCACCTTTGATTGGATCACTTTTATTTTTTTTTTAATTTAACCTCCAGTCCAGAGCAGCAGGTGGTGACCTGGTGTCAAAGGTCAACCTCCAGAATTCCACAGAGAAGGAATTCTGTGATCGATCGAAGAAGAATTCAACTTCAGACGTGCAGAACGTTGTTGTTCTTCTAACGGATGAAGATGAAAACTTTGTGTTTGTGTGTCGGCGATTCGTTGTGATTTACCCGGAGGGTAGCGGGTATTTTGTGAGTGTTTCACAGAGTAATATCAGACCTACTTCCTGTGTGTGGTGAAAAGGAAAGTCCTGTTGTGTTTTCATCCGACTGTTTAGTAAAACTCCCAGACTCTGCAGCATGGACGAGCTGACACTTTTAAGCTAAAGGTGAAAGCGTTGGAGGTTTGCTTTTCTCTGCTGAATGCTATCAATACACCACAGGCTGCTGCCTGCTGTAGGAAATGGATGGTGTGTGTGTGCGTGTGTGTGTGCGTGCGCGTACTCACTTCGGGTGGATGAAAGTTGCACTTTGACAGTACTTTCTAGCAGTATATATATTTTTTTTGGGTGGATGAAAGTGCCTGTCAGTTTCTGTTCCCTCTTTCTAATCTCTCTCTCTCGTCTCGTCTCGTCTCTCTGTTTCTCCACCGCGTTACAATAAAAGCGTTTATGTTACCACTCTCTCGTCTTGTCTCTCTGTTTCTCCACTGCGTTACAATAAAAGCGTTTATGTTACAAAGACGTTATTTAAATATTTAATCCCCCGCTGCTACCTGGAAAACTCTATATTTAAACATCAACCATCAGTGGTTCATTGTTTCTTCTGATAAAATAAAAAAAAAGACTCACGTCGGTGAATTTACCAACCAAGAAAAAAACCCAAACACAAAGGCTTGTTGTCAAAAATTCACCAGAAAGAGGCAATAAAACAGTTACAGTTACTGGAAAAAAAAAGTTTGGGAACCACTGGATTCAAGGACCACGCTTTTGTGATCGCACAGTTGCTGGTTTGAATCCCGTGGAGTGTTGAGGAAGTAATAAAACCTCCCACGACTGCTCCTCTGTGTCCGGAGTTAATTACAGTAGCATGTTCCACAGGTGGGGTACATGCAGAGAGTAATTGTCCCACAGGGGGTAAATAGAGTGGTGGCAAAATAAGTAGTGTTAGAAAACTAGGCATTAATTGGTCTATTCAACCACGAGATCTTTTTTATATAAATATATAAAAGAGGAAAAATAGCTAGATTAATTTAGCGTTTTGGTAAGTGGTTCAAAATGATTTTTTTTTTAAAAGTCCACAGAGGCTGTTTTTGTTTTGCACTTCTTCTGTTTTTATGAATTTGCTCCTCACCCCCCTTCAACACCCCCCCAAATCCCCTCTCCTGCGTTAGTTTTCTTCTTCTGCTTCTGTTTGCTGTCACTGGAAACTCCTCTCCCTCCATCTGTTTCCCATTAAAACCCCTTGCAGCCCATTCGGGGGCTGCAGCCTCTCGCCTCCACTACAAGGTATTTATTGTGAAACATCTGCAAGGAGTGTGTTCCATTAAGAACAGCCTCGCGCTAAAGGAAATAAAAACCATTAAAGTGGAATCAACTCCAGTCAATTAATTAGAGAGAAGAAGAGCGCAGTCGCCGACGAGAGCTGCTTGGTGCTACGAACTTCTCATGAAAATGTACCAAATAGTTGTACACATGAGTATACTGTGTGTATATGTGTATATATATGTGTATATATGTATATATGTATATATGTACATATGTATATGTATATATTTGTATATATGTATGTATATATGTATGTATGTATGTATATATGTGTATATATGTATGTATATGTGTATATATGTGTATATACTGTATATATATGTATGTATATATATATGTATGTATGTATATATATGTATATACAGTATATGTATGTGTATATATATATGTGTGTATATATATGTGTATATATATATATGTATGTATATATATATATATATATGTATGTCTACTCTTCTTCTTTACCGCACACCTTTTGGAAAGTCGTACTGCTCATTGTTGTTTTTGATCATTAGCACTCCACTGTAAGACTGCAGCATTATTAGCATTCATTGTAGCACAGACAGTGATGTATGTGGTGCCCAGCAGCCTCTCGGCCCCTCGGCCCCTGGGGGCCACAAGTGGACACACACATGTAGAATCTGCATGCCGGTTAATGACCGTGCCTTGTGCGATTGTCACAGCAGTCGGATTAGAAAGGGCAGGAGGGGCAATTCATCTTCCCTGCCTCGCAGGGAACACACCGCTAGCTCATTAGCATTCAGTTGTTATTGATTGCCTGTACACAAACTTCAATATGTTGTATAACAGGAGGGAGGATCATATTTTCATGCTGGCAAAAGGAAACACGCAGCCGGGGCACACGGTGTAGTGAGTGTGATTCACAGTTACCTGCAGAGGGGTATTTAGGACTCTCCTCAGACTGCTGGGCTTTTAGAAGTAATTAAAATAATGTGGGCAGGTAAATCTGTACTTATTAAGTTCATTAATCAAGTGCCGTTGTCAGCCACGTCGTTAAGTCTCCGGTGTTCTGCTGCAACAAGCCCGGCTTTGGTCGACATCTGTCAGGATACAGAACAGTCTTTTCAGATGTTCATTTACTGCTAGATTAAAATATATTCCAAGTCGGAGGCTTTGTGATTGATTGGTCAAGATTAATTATATTTTTTATATTAAATACATGAAAAAAACACAATAATAAACTCTCTGTTACCCTAACAGGTTACTACAAACTCACAGTATAAGTACTGTGTTTAAATACATTTTTTGGACATGTTTTGACTCATAATTTGGTAGTATGTGGGCTGGATCTGGATCTGGATCTGGATCTGGATCTGGATCTGGGGTCTGTACCAGGTCTGTCTTAAACTACATTGTTAGTCAAATATGTCTTATGTCCAAGTTCAGTCCAAACTTCTACAAAAACATTCTCTCATTTTTGGAGACAACAGAGCTCATCTACTTTTTTTTTTAAAGCAACAACAGCTTCTAAACCCTGGTTGGCATCATTTAAAGACATTCGCCTGTGTTTTCAATCCAACAGACCTTTGTCAGATTACAGTGTTGTTCATCAGATTACAGATTATAACTTCAGATTGTCATCCACACCACAAATTTAAAGACATTTTTTTAGGTTAAGGAAAACAAACAGCCCTGGTTTCATGCTGACCTCATTACTGCGTCTGACTTTTCATACCAGCAGCAACAAGTCACAGCCTGAGCTCTCTCATATGGTCCGTAGAAGAATGTAACTGGAAGGAACTCCACACCAGAGTAATTAGGCGTACGTCAGCGGAGACACTGGGAGGTGAAGGAGGAGGTGGAGCAGAAGAACACTGGCTGACTTACCTCATGAAGAGACATTTCAGTCGAGCTGGTTTTTGCCTTTGACTCACAACTCTCTATATTTAGTACGACATTCACACTGCAGACAAAGTTGGCCCCAATTTGACTCTCATTCCGATATGTTCTCAACGTTCTCAAGTCGGAACCAAGTCCCTTTGATACGTGCTCCAGAATCAGTGACATGCAGTATCTGATGTTTGTTTTTATTTTAAGTCCTGATGTTGATTTTTAATTATATTTGACTTTGACTCGGTTGAAGTGAGACAGATTTCCTAGTGCGTCGAATAATTCATATTTAATTAAGTTGTGACGAACTGCGGCCGAACATGACAAGATCAAATGTATGCTGTTGACTGAACAGTAGGGGTGTGTGTTAGCAAGCAGTCAAACTGGTTAAGAGAGATTGAACATCAACTTCAATATTGACACACACACACACACACGCCGACATGTGTAGCGCGTCTTCACGCTCCAGCCCCAACTGCGCACGAGCCTAACTCTGTGTTTGTCAGGTAAAACCATTTGTAAAGAAAATGGAAAATCCCCAGTTGGCAACAAAAAAAACTCCACATTTGTACGTGCAATTACGGCTGCATTTGAATGCATCGTTCTGTTCTCCAGTCTTTGCTCGAAGCAGCAATAAAAACTACCCTTAAATGTAACATAAAATTTAAAAAACCAACAAAAAAACCAAACCAAAACAAATGAAAGCCTCAAACATCCTAATAAAATTCAGGCGATTTTTCTGGTGAGGATGTTTTTTTCATTTCATGCAAAATTACCAGGGGTTTTGAGGCTAATTCCCCAACATCAGGCTAACATCTGTCCTGGGGGATGAGCTCAGTGCGTCACTAGCCAATTGGATCATGTTTTTCCGACTCCTTCCTGCAACATCTGTGGTTCCGTGTTGAAGTGGACCCACCTGCTGTCAGTGATAAGACAGACCTCACACAGACAGAGGGCACTAACGTGCCTCTGCCACTTCCTGTCAACATGTTGCCAGCATTTCACAAAAAGGCTGTCTTCAAATGCATCATCTGGAAAGGTCTCCAAAGGCTCAGCATCGACGGCCTCCAGAAGATATGTCATGTTTTTTGACTAAGCCACAAAGGCCAGAAATGAAGACAGGGGAAAAGGCTTCTGGATATTCAATATTAATGTGTTCCAGGACCAGCAGGGGTTGTGGCCCACTGCTTCTTTCTCCTTAATTCAATTCGGTCTAAACCCTGGAATCATAGGCTGTCAGTCACATACTCCATTTATTTTTCAATCTCCATTTTTTTTCCCACTCCCATTTGAGGGCTTGCATTTCAACACTCTGAGCTCTGCCTCCCTGAATATCGTATTAGCGGTCGGCCTGATAACTTGTTGCTTGGATGTGAAAATTAAAGACCTGGAAAAGATTGCCTTTTTTTTAGTGATAAACCTCCCGACATCGCAACCATCGCACCTACAGCAGTGCTGCTGAAGAAGCAATTTGAAGGGAACATATTTGTCAGAATTGACTTTTGTCAGTTTGTGCTACAAATATTTGTCTCCCTGGAGCATCGCCTCTAAAGTCTAGCCCAATTCTAGAAACCTGACTTTCGGACATAACAACCGGTTATTTTGTGACATGATGGTTTGTTTGTTTGTTTGGTTTTTTTTGCATTTGTTTGAGTAATGGATGTTAGAGCTTTTTTTATTTCCTTCAAGCCAAAACATTTGGTTTTCGAGCGACTCCACTGACGTTTGTCTCACAGGAGAATTTTTGGTCGCACTTGAACCATCAGTTATTTTTTTCTTTGTTGTTGTGTTCTGGAAGGTTTTTCCCTGTAAGTCCAACCTTCAAACACAACACTGGCTTTTGAGTAAAAAATCACAGTCAGAGAATCGGTTCACAAGATGGGTCCCTTGGGGTCACTGGGTTGGTCTCTTAAAGTAACCTTAGAACAATATGAGTTCATAGTTGAGAATCAGATTCATACAGAATCAGAGCAGCGCAGCCTCAGGACCTGCTCAGCAGAGCTGACAGTGTTGGACCGCAGCGGTGGGAGTGGGATGAGATCAGCGTGTTCGTGACCTCAGTCAAAACATGGTTGTGCAACTGAAACATTTCTGCTCTTAACATTAAGAAATGACATTTGCTGAGGAAACAACTCGACGACTGGCCCGGACAAGAGTTGTTGTTTATTCGAATCTGAAACAGAGAGAAAAAAAGGTTCTGCTCACACGCTGCCAGAGTGCATCAGCATCTGAATGAATGTCACATTTAATGACCAGATGGTCATAATCCCCCGTTCTCTCTTTGTTTTTCTGGCGTCATATAAAAGTTCATGTGTCACTGGAAGGATTCACGAGGCTTTAGAAGGTTTTTTTATGGATTTAATCCTGTCTGTAGAGAAGTTAGACCTGAATATAAAACAGTCTTTGCTCTCTTAAGTGGTTCTAGGATAAAATAAAATAAAAAAAAAACAAAAAAAAAACATTACAGGCTTAGAAGACGACGCCACATGGCATCAAGGCAGAAATGGTTTGTTGAAGTTGATGATCGGACCTCGTCTTCAGAGATGGGTAATGGTCTGAAGGCCTCACTCTCTGAGAGATTACTTAAGTTTTGTTTTACAAGCGTACATTTCTGGGCAGTCGCCCACACCTCGTGTCTGTGTTGTGCATACAGGAGCAGTCGGTTTATGTCCTGGGCTCCTGCGCTGCTCAGCTCTCATCTCTGCCAACCTGTGAAACGACTGGATGATGAACTGAAGCCCGGTGCCCGCCCGCCACCTCGGCTGTCTGCTGTATTGAAGCGGGCGATGGATGGTCGTAATGGGAGGGAGCGGGACAGAGACATGGGGGGGAAGGGGATCAATCACCCTCTCACAAAGTCTTCATTGCTTTGCCTTTTGTCAAACGGCTGGGTCAAACCCAATTGGGATGCTTCCCTCAACCACAGGAAAGGTCAAGTCAATAAATGTATGTGTTTGTATGGCCTGATAGAGTGAGTGAGGCGGAGGGGGAGGTGGAGGGGGAGGAGAGGGTAAATATGAGACGGTCCGCTGGTGCTGGGACTTTGTTGTCAAAGCCCTCTATTACAGTTTAGGAACTTTAACATCTTCTCCAAGACAAACACAGGAACTCACTGAAAAGTGAGGTTGAACGCAAACACATGAATCAGATGAGTCGTGAATGAACTTCTAACCCAACTGTCATGTTGTTCTTGCTTGCTGACATCAAACACCAGTGTCACGGCGTTTTCCTTTAATGTTTATGTCCCTCACCATGACATAAATATAAAAGACTGTGGTTGACAAACGAGTGCTTTGACGGAGACGCACCACCAAAACCATGTTTTCTGTAGTTATTTGTGTCCAGTCAATAACGCTGCTCCCTGTGGTGTCTTATTTTACTGCAGGAATCAGGTTTTTAACTAAACAGTCGTTGGCAAATATAGATTTCCTCTCCTCCGTGTCATCATTCTCTGCTCCCCAGACGGCCTTCAGCTGATATTGATTAACCTGTAATGCTGCTTCTCAGGTATGAACGGCCGGCATCAACGGGCCACAGGAACCCACATGGTTTATGACCCATCAGGTCAGGAGTGGGACCTGGCACCGGCTCAGTTTGTTAGAGGGGCCAGGGACCAATGAGGTGTAGATGAGGTCTGGGGGGAAATTTCTTTGTTTATTGGTCTGAATTTATTGACTTTTATTGTACTCAGTGGGTGGACATTGATTAGTCATCGGCGTATTGTTGAGTTTCTTTATGACGCTAATGGATTTTTGGTCCTTGATTGAATTGAGTTGTTCGATTTGAGTGGTGTTTGCGTATTTATATCAGTAGTTCTACACACAGATACTTTCAGCAAGTCAATACTGCGTATTTATATCGGTAGTTCTACACACAGATACTTTCAGCATTTTCTTGATGAAACCAAAACTATTTTTTCAGTTCAGTTTTGTGGAACTTCCAGAAGCTTAAAACCAAAACTTGGTTGGTGCAGGAGTGGAGCTTCCCTTTTTGGTATCAACCAATAATGATCTGACCGTCATTAGCGAAACCAACATGATACTTGATAGTTTTATTTATAAAAAAAAAATAATAATAATTGTGCTTCTGGTTCTGTCTCTGTTCAACAGTCGTTGTAGTTGGTGATTCTGGTTCTGGACCACAGAGAATGATTGTTCATCAGGGACTTTTCACCACCGTGTTTTTATCATTTGTTTCTTTTTAACACTTCTTATTTTTAGCCCTTGTGCTAGCTGTAGCTGAACGTCTAGAACGACCAAGGTGTGCTAACTGTCACTGTCTGATATGAGTTCTGACACTGTTTGAATGAACCGTTTCAAATTTGCAAGTGAAGATAGATGTGTGCTGGTCCATTAGGTTTGAGTCCAGCACCATTGATCTTAAAGCGACAGTCATTATTGTGTGTTTCCCTCTCACTTGATTGCACATCTGGTCATTAGAGTTCCTCGTTTCTAAAAATGTACGTCCGACCTTGTGATTGATAAGAACGGCCTTTGTGGAGCAAAGTGCCTCCGACATCGCTTTCGTTCGTCGTGGTCCATCTGGGGGAGAAGCTGTGACATAATAATAATGGATAATGGACCTGTCGATGGCAGAGGGGTCGTTGTCCATCTGGGGGAGAAGCTGTGACAGGATAATGGACCTGTCGATGGCAGAGGGGTGTAACTCCAAAATGAAGCTGAAAGTTCCACTTCATCTCAGCTGTAGGAATCTGCAGCTGCTCAAAGACACTCCTCTGTCAGTGAGGACCGGCAGCCGCGTCTGCTTTTTTTTCTCTCTCAGTACAAAACTGACCCATATATCTTGTTGAAACGCTAAACCGCTTAGGAAATCCCTCGCTGATCCCCAAAGAACTGCTCCCCAGACGCAGAGAAGGATATCATTCCTCTGGCCCTGGGCCGTGAGAACATGTGAGGTGGAAAAACGTCGTTTTGCTGTGCGGCAGCGTGGGGTCAGGAATGGTGTTCCGTTAGCTGACACAACAGCCAGCGCGTGGGCCGCGCTTTTCAAAGACTGGTAGCCCAGTGACAGCAACAAAAATTGCAGCTCTTGTGCTGTTGGACCACAGGGGAACCGCACTTAAAAGAGCGAGATGATCCAAGCACGGATCTCTGGGTGCTTAGACATAATTGCATATGCATTGGTGGTTTTGCCTGCTGTCAGATGTGACTGTGGATCTACTTCAAGGACATGTTTTTCCACAGATACATATTGTTTTATTATTCATGTGGTTTGTTATTGTACAGCAACAATTCACAGAGTGCACCATCCCCGAGAACGAGATGGTGTTTTTATTCAAAAGGAAACAAAACAACCGTTCCATTGAGAACAAGTGTGAAGCTCAAGATGAGCTGCTAATTGTTTTTGGGGGTTTTCTTTGTCTCATTGTCGGAGTTTGACTTTGTCCAAGACCTGTGCATGTTGAGTTGAGATTAAACTGCAAAAATCATTGAGTTTGACTTTGTCCAAGACCTTTATGTTGAGTTGAGATTAAACTGCAAAAAAATTACTGTAATGAGATTTCTCAGTCACGTGACTCAGCATCACAGTCTATCATTGGAGCAGTACGACGGGTAGAACAAAAGGTTCTCTGCTCTCTTCTACTTTGGTGGCGTGTTCCTTCTCTGTAGGATTCGGTAGGATGACCTTCGACCCTAGGTCACACCCTGCTTCTTAGTTTGGTCTCAGGACATTTCCTGGAAATGTGGATTTCAGTCGTCTGCAGGGAAACAAATCAGATGGCACCAAATTCAAACCGGTTGATGAGCGTCAGTCGTTTGAACTGGGTTCCGTTCAGGTCCAGGTTAAGAATGTGTCAACTGTCAGAGACCAGTCTGAACTGGGTTTAGTCATCTACATCAGACACCTGCAGGAATCAACACTGCGTGTCTGAGGACTTTTTGACCGCTCCCTCCATGCAGCGTTCCCTGGGTAACTACCAGTGATCTGGTGGATGAACTCAAAGGATTAACTTTGTTCATATACTTGGCTTTGCTTTATCTTTTTGTCCAGGGTCAGACATTAGTGGAAAGTCAGGAGAAATGTCTGAAATCCTCATTGGAATTCTATATACATAACTTGAATATAATGCCTTTTTTAGACATGTGGAAGAAAGGCTGAAAGGAAGGAAAACTACTGAAGGGATATATATTTTCTACGGTGAGTCAGGTGTACAAGAGCTCATTTGTAAACGTGTCCTGTGATAAAGATGGTTAATGCCTACTGCCAACCCGTCAGCCGTTGTTTCTGTATATTATCTGTGATAGATTAGTGTGTACGGAGGAAACTGCCGGGGCATTGCACACAATATCTAATTGCTGAATGATAAAGCCCACCGCGGGCCCCGCCGATCAATCTGCAGCGGCAGATACAATAACTAACTCTGAGGATGATGGAACAACACGTTATATTCACGCTGAGGAATGACACGGCTGAAGATACAGTCTGGAAACGGATTCTCACAGGAAACAAACCTTAATCAACACAGACGGGAGGGGCTTTGAACCCCACCCCCGCCCCCACCCCAAAACTTTGCTGCATATTTGTGTTGAATAAATAGCCATCTGTAAAGTTTAATATAATAGTTCAATACACACACACATATATATATCTATATATGTCTATATATACATATATAAAATATAAATATATATTTTATTATATATTTATTGTATAAATATATAAACACATATAACACACAAACATTTAACAGACTATTCTTCTTATTCTGTGACCCACTGTGACTATAACTGTACTTTAAATATTTATTATTTAATATTTATTACTATAATTATGTATTTTTGTATTGGATAAAAGCGTCTGCAAAATGTATTAATAATACAGCAATATTATATATATAGCAATATTTATATATATAATTACATATATACTAAACAGTATATGAATCTATATATATAATGAAATAATCAATTAAGTCATGCTACTATAGTATATATATATATATATATATAATTATATATGTGTATATACAGTATGTATACGTATGTATAACGTAGTAGCTTGACTAAAATAAACACGAAAGAGAGTAAACATAAACTTCCACACACATACCAAACTCTAAGCTTTTTTTTTTTTTTTTAAATATTTTTTCACATTTTTATGAAACTGGTTCAGCTTCAAAGTAATAATGAAAACGTTGCCCAGATTGACTTCTCTCCTGCTGAGCCCTTCCATCAACATCACAGGCCACATCATCCCTCTTCATCTTCCTCTTTCTCCATGGTGGATTCCTTGCTCTGGTACATTTCAAACCTTTTATTAGTTATTCCATATTTATTTCATAAACAGACTTCAGAGACGTATTTAGACCATTTTTCGCGCCTCTGGTCTTTGCTCCGAATCAAACACTTTCACTAAAGTTTCAGCACAAAGTTCAGTCGACTCTGTTGCACAACTAAAAATGGCCAAAAGGGCAAAGGGGAATAATGTTGTAATGACAGACAGAAACTCAACATCACTGCATATTGGCTTTGATTTGTTTTCCCGTTTCATGTTTGGTAGGAAAATGCATCACAGTTTGGCCTGGAAAGTGCTTGAATTTGAATTTGAATTTGAATTTTTCCTGGAAAAAGAGCATTTGAACTTGTTTGGTCGTGTGGTCCACCTGTCAGGTGATTCACTCATTCACAGTTAGCACCGACTAAGAACGTTAGTAACTGGATTCTCCAGATCCACTCTGAAGATCCATCACAGCAGCCACAGATGCTCTCACACACACATGCATGTCTTTACTGTAACCTGCTGCCGACCCACACACACACACACCCACACACACACAGTTAGCCATAACAGGCTGGATCAACCTGGGTCATTAACCCCTGAGGTCTTTGCACAGTAGTTAATGATTAGCCGTCATCACTCAATGTGTTTCAGCAGCTCTAACACACACACACACACACACACACATACTGTACACACACTCTGGCTGGA